TATATATATATATATATATATATATCATACCGGTGAACCAAGATTTGAAGGTATGTTCGAATTTATGTATAAATCTAATTCTCCCAATGAACTTGTTTTCATTTACATATATGAGTGAAAAACAAGATTATTAATCTCAATACTTCGATCCTTAGAATTATGAATCAACTCTCAAAACTATCAATCACATTAAATCTATTAATCAACGTTCCATCGAATTGACTAATAAGAACCTTATTAGACATTGATTTGTAGAGTTGCTAGGTTGACAAAATTATTGGTTGCAGAATAAACGACGCAAAAAACTGAATAAGGATTAAAAAGGTTTCTCGCCGGGAACGTTCCCTGGAGGGTCGTAATTGCAAACAACCAAGTAGCAAGGAGAGTCTGGAGGATCACATTTAACCCTAGCACATCCAAGGCGTTGCGAATTTTTCCAAACCGCTTGAGTATAATGGGTACACTTGCAACCATCTTCGCACTTGTTTTCACCGTAATTATAATCCTGCTTCTCATCCATCCACATTTGCACTGCAAATGAACCATTGAGATTTGGTCCGGCTGCCATATTCTCACCACACCTACCAGAGTGTATCATCTTACAATCCTTTCTTTGATTGGCCCATGCCTCCGCAACTTTAGCTAATTCAGGGTCCCACGTCAAAGGAGGCACCTCGAATAGTGTTCTAAGACAACTATGAGCATCAACATAGTCTTGTGGTTCGCTGTGGGCATGAGATAAACGTAGAATTGCCACTGATATGACAAGAAAAAGAAAGATGCTATGCCAATGAAATCCCATGTTATATGAGATGACTATTTCAAATATGTTGGAATCAATGATCGACAAAAACAGGTATTTATAGGGGGGAATACGTTATCAATATAGATGAATTCAAAGTGAAATGCAAAAAGTAAGGATTGAATGAGCAAAAAATGGACACTTTGATGGAGGAAAAGGGTCCCCAACTTTTGACTCAGCCCAAATATTGGGCAAAAAACTACCACATCTAAACCCTAAATAAAAGGGTGCCTTGCCCCTGCCCCTTTTGACACATCACAAAGGCAAAGTAGGTTAGTTTGGTACACCACACAAAATGAATTTAGATTTTTATTTTTATTTTAATATATTAATGTATTTTGAATTATATATTCAGTTGTATAAAAGGTGCTACAAAATATGACTAGTCAACAAATATATTAAAATACTTGGATTGATTACTTAAAAACATGCGATCACAAGAAATTCTTGAAATCAAACTATTTGTCTTAAATATCTTAACCAAAAACGCTTATTAGATAAATGCTTATCGGGTTTCCATGATAAAGATCGAGAATCTTACGTGGTAAGAAGTAAGACAAGTATCAAGAGTCTCACATGGTAATTGAGAGTGGTGATTCTTACTCAGTAAACACTTTTCAGGTGATAGACGTTTACCAACAATTCATTTTGATGGCTGGTAATATTACCCGTTAAGGTAAATGAGCGTGGTGACTTTTTACCGTTTAACGCTTATCTAGTAAGGCGTTTGGTAAATAACCCCTTGTATATCATAAAATGTTGGCTTAAAGTATTAAAAGTAACTTATTAAATACTATGTAGTGTTTATTAATGTATAACCTTTTTAATTTCAAGCTTACAAATAATTATTAATACAATAGAGTTATCAATCACTAGTGTGGGAACCATGCGTTGTGCGTAGCATAATATATAGGGCTGTAAACGAACCGAACGTTCAGCGAACCGTTCGGCGGGAAGTTCTTTTATGTTCGTTTATTTAATACATGAATGGACATGAACAATTTTTTTTTGTTAGTTTAGTTAAACGAACGAACATGAACAAGAGTCTCGTTCGTTCATTTATGTTCGTGAACGTTCGTTCATTTACCGTTCGTTTACGTTCGTTCATTTATGTTCGTGAACGTTCGTTCATTTACCGTTCGTTTAAGTTCGTTTATATACTAGATCTAATATATAATCTTTTGTTTATTTATTTTGAATTCAAATAATATTTATTTATGTTCATTTAGCCTGTTTGTTTATGTTCGTTCGTTTACGTTCATTTAGCATGTTAACAAACGAACATAAACGAACACGAACACACCTGATTTCTAAACGAACGAACACGAACACAAAGATTTTCGTTCATTTACCGTTCGTGTTCGTTCGTTTGTTCGGTTAACTTAAACAAACGAACATGAACAAGCTTCCGTTCGTGTTCGTTCGGTTCGTTTACGACCCTAATAATGTGTGTGTACGTGTATATATAATAAAGAGAGACAGAGAGAGATTTGTTAATATATATAATGGTGAGAGAGAGAAAGATTTGTTAAGGAATAACATTGTATAGTGAAATAAAATGAATAATATTAAGGATGAGGTGAGAATAATTTATGCATTGTTTGTATGATTGATATATTCGTGAATTCTTTTTTCTTGTTAGAAAGAGGACAAATAAGGATTATGTTATTAACTCATTGAATTCTTATTATTTATGTTAAGTTAAATAATTCATATATATATTTTTTCTCATTTTAAATATTTACCAAAAGTTTAATTACATCCACCTCTTATGTATATATAAGGTTAAAAGAATTTTTTTTGTTCATATTATTTATTCTGGTTAAAATTCGAACAACAATTTTCCTGATTTATTCAGACAGATTAATGCTTACATACAACTTAATATATTAGAACTTAAGAAATAAAAAATCAAACAACCCCTTAGTCAATAAATAATATGAAAATATGTTAACTGGTTATTAGTACGTATAAGTTAATATAAAGAATAACCCGTTGTTAAAAAAATAATGATGTCTATAAATAACATTTAAAAAATATTAAACTTGTATTCATACAAATTTCAAAGTTACGAATCAATGTAAACAAATGTTTTTAAATACTAATCAATGAATGTTATTTACTATCATAAATATTTTAATTTTATATTGATGCGTGTATAAGTAATTATTGTCAAGTCAAATGTTGCATTTTTGTATTACTAACTTTGACATTTGTTAATTGATTGGGAATCTGCCTATTTGGTTGGTAGAATGTAGCTTCGTAATTGGAATGAATAAACAATAAATCTCCAAAAAATACCCCTTTACAATGATGGCAATCGGTTGTGGTTTAGAACGGTGATTCAAATCAGTGGTGGTTCAAATATGTGGTGGTCGATGGTGGTTCAGATTGGTGGTGGTTCAAATAGGTGGTGGTCGATGGAGGTTCAGATTGGTGGTGGTTCATAGCGGTGGTGGTCGGCGGTAGTTCAGAACGATGGTGGTCGGTGATGGTTCAAATGGAGATTATATGGGTCAGAGTAAATCAAGTAGGGAAGATGGGGATAATTTTGTCTTATGAGAAAATAAGATGGAATGGAATTAAATTCTTTCTCAATTGTGATGGAATGACAAATCCATGAATGGTGAAATGTGTTGAATTCAATTCCATTTCATAGGTAAACCAAACACCTTAATGGAATTTGGTCAATGAAATTAATCATTCCAATTCATTCAGATTCTGTCGGAATCCTACGAATCAAACGTCCCCTTAAACATGTTGATGCATATGGACACTATCATGAACACTCTCCATCAAGAACAAACTTATGTAGATCCATTCAAAAATCAAAGTAAAATAAAAAATCATCATGCATATCAAAAATAAAAATAAAAATGTTTTTGTACAATTTCATTCAAATAAGTTAAAAGAGTAAATTAAGATTTTCGTCCCTATAGTTTAAAAATTGTGATTTTCGTTCTTATGGTTTACAATTTATTGTTATTTTTGTCAATAATTTCTACATTTAAGTACAAAGGGCCAAAACAGTAAAGAATTGTAAACAAAGACCAAAACAACAATAACTGTAAATCATAATAACAAAAAAACACTACAACAAAATTGAGTTTATAGGACGCCCCCAATCTCTAAGTGTCCCAATAGACCGCTTTATAGGACTTAATTTTATAGGACCAAAATATAAAGCGTCCTATATAAAGGCGTTGTAACAAGTTTATATGACGTTTTTATGCGTCTTAACAAGTTTTTGAGAACATTTTTAATACAAAGTGTCGCGTTAGCAACTTTATAGGACAATTTTGAGAAAGTGTTCTATAAACTCAATTTTTTRTAGGACATTTGTTTTTATAGGACAATTTTTCAAATAGTGTCCTATAAAGTTGCTAATGGGACGCTTTATATTAAAAGTGTCTTAAAAAACTTATTACGACGTCAAAACAGGTCTATTAAGACACTTAGAATTTGGAAGTATCCTATAAACCCGATTTTGTTGTAGTGAGTGTATATTTTAGTTACAACTTTTACATGTTAATGAATTCCTAAACACAATTATAAATTATTTTTAAAACTTTTAATAAAATATTTTATAATATAATATAGATAATATCATTATGTATTTTTGAATTTATCTTTTCATCAATACAATACGGTTGTAATTGTCATTTTAAGAATAATTAATAATTTAATTTAATTATCGATCCTCGGTGCTCCCCCTGACCGTTAACCCTGGTTCCGCCTCTGGACCCTTTCAACATTGTCATTTTATCACTTCAAACTAATACGACAATTTGAAGTGATAAAGTAACAAGTGATGAACGCGTCACCAATTGGCTCGAGACAAATAAAAAAGGCAATTAATAAAGGTATATATTATATACAACGTTTAAAACCCATCATACTCCTTCTATTTGGTGAGTTTGAAATCTTTGACCTCTAAGATGATTGGGTTACCGAACACCGAAGGTTCAATGGCCCTTTGGTAAATAAAGAAGGTATAGTGGGAATATCTCATCTATGTTATATTTGTGTATACAATAAGTACCATAGTCTCTTGGATTAGTATCATGGACGAAGAATTGTGTGAGATTTTTACAAAACTTGAACGTTAAATAAATTCTTTAACATCATATGCATTTCAGTTAAAAAAATTCTTTAACAAATACCAATAAGGTAAATCATTTCATAGCAGACATTTTTTTAACATCGTATGCATTTCAGTTAAAAAGGTTATAAGAAAGCTCAGTTCGATACGTTATTCGATGTTATAAACTTTAACCGGATATGAGAATTCAAAACTGAACACTTGAATCTGAATCAATTAAGCAAGGATCACAAAGTAAGCAATTAAGCTCAATCCTTTACTTTAAAGAACCTATTAGATTCTAACTTATACTCGAAAGACGTCAAAACGAAACAAAGGAAAAACGGAAAAAAACACAAAATAGTGTAGAATGCGAGTTTGATGCGACCTAAGTCGCATGAAAGTCGCTTTCCTCACTGGATGCGTTTTCTTGCCCTGTTCAATCTTGTTTTGCCCCATGTTGCATTCCCACATTCAAATACCAGCAAAAACCAGATAAAACTCCAAATCCTTGACCATAACTTCTCAAATCACTTCAGAAATACTCAACATGTAAACTTGGAACCATTTTGAACACGTAACAACTTTTAGCCAACGAAATTTTCACTATAACAAAATTGGATTTATAGGATATCCCCAATATTTAAGCGTCCCAATAGACCGCATATAGTTCTATCTAAAGGTGTTGTAATAAGTTTATATGATGTTTTTGGGCGTCTTAACAAGTTTTTTAGAACATTTTAATACAAAATGTCGCATTAACAACTTTATAGGACACTTTTGAGGAAGTATAAACTCAATTTTTTATGTCTTGTTTTTATAGATCAGTTTTTCATATAGTGTCCTATAAAGTTGTTAATGTGACGCTTTATATTAAAAGTGTCTTAAAAAAACTTATCACGACGTCAAAAACGTCATA